GAACCCACGCTCCCTTTCGAGAATCAAAGGTTAAATCTAACGTCTTAGAGCGCTTGGCCAATCTGACTATACTTAATTATTTTATTTATAAGTCTTTACCTTACGACTAAGCTATACGAGGGGATGATCGGGATAGAACTCGAGTCTGCGCAAAACACGACCGTCCCCGAACGCAGGATCACGTCAACCAAGCAAAAGGCGAAGACTAACGTTCGATAAAAAGTAGTAGGACTCCTAGCTCAGGTCAAATGAGGTCAAACTGAGCTAGGAGACCCACTACATAACTATTCAAATTAACTACGGGAGATGCGATATCGGTCAAAAGTAAGTGTGCGGAGTGGTGGTATGCTAATTGAGACTACCAGAGGCAGTTCAAGGTTTTCAGTTACATGAGTGTGATACCAAGCAACACCACAATCGACTTTCAAGAACATTCTAAATTTGTTGAATGAAATTTTAGCGTGATTGCCGCCACAAATCCTGGTTGGCACAACACAGCATAAGAATGTCATTTTTAACCAAAAACGATTTCGACTCTTCGGTACATTTCCTGAATTATGATTTTGTAGTCCGAATTTTTGGATTTTAAAATTATTCCTTGCTTTTCCTGAATTTTAGGATCCTGTCAGCAGCGCCAATTTATGGTCGCCTCGTCAGGTCTTTTCTAAGTTTACTCATTTTGTGGATTTAGAGCCTGAGATTTTTCTAGAAGCTGTCACAAAAATGTGTTTTATTTAAATGCAAAAAAACTGCCAGGTGTGGGATTCGAACCCACGCTCCCTTTCGAGAATCAGAAGTTAAATCTAACGCCTTCGACCGCGTGGCCAATTTAACTACACTTAATTGTTTTATTTATAAATCTTTACCGTACTACTAAGTTATAGGGGGGGATAGTCGGGATAGAACTCGAGTCTGCGCAAGACACGACCGTCCCCGAGCTCGAGGTCAGGTCGACCGAGCAAAAGGCGGTGACAAACGTTCGATAAAAAGTAGTGAGGCTCAGGTCAAGTGAGGTCAAACTGAGCTAGGAGACCCACTACATAACTATTCAGATTCATCACCGGAGATGCGATATCGGTCAATAGTAAGTGTGCGGAGTGGTGGTATTCTAATTGAGACTACCAGAGCCAGTTCAAGGTTTTCAGTTACATGAGTGTGATACCAAGCAACATCACAATCGACTTTCAAGAACATTCTAAATTTGTTGAATGAAATTTTAGCGTGACTGCCCCCACAAATCCTGGTTGGCACAACACAGCATAAGAATGTCATTTTTAACCAAAAACGATTTCGAATCTTCTGTACATTTCCTGAATTATGATTTTGTAGTCCGAATTTTTGGATTTTAAAATTATTCCTTGCTTTTCCTGAATTTTAGGATCCTGTCAGCAGCGCCAATTTATGGCCGCCTCGTCAGGTCTTTTCTAAGATTACTCATTTTGTGGATTTAGAGCCTGAGATTTTTCTAGAAGCTGTCACAATAATGTGTTTTATTTAAATGCAAAAAAACTGCCAGGTGTGGGATTCGAACCCACGCTCCCTTTCGAGAATCAAAGGTTAAATCTAACGTCTTAGAGCGCTTGGCCAATCTGACTACACTTAATTGTTTTATTTATAAGTCTTTACCTTACTACTAAGCTATACGAGGGGATGATCGGCATAGAACTCGAGTCTGCGCAAAACACGACCGTCCCCGAACGCAGGATCAGGTCAACCGAGCAAAAGGCGAAGACTAACGTACGATAAAAAGTAGTGGGACTCCTATCTCAGGTCAAATGAGGTCAAACTGAGCTAGGAGCCCCACTATATGACTAGTCAAATTTTAGTTTTACTGCCGCCACACATCCACCCTGATCCTGGTTGGCACAACACAGCATAGGAATGTCATTTTTAACCAAAAACGGTTTCGAATCTTCTGTACATTTCCTGAATTATGATTTTGAAGTCCGAATTTTTGGATTTTAGAATTATTCCTTCCTTTTCCCGAATTTTAGGATCCTGTCCGTAGCGCCAATTTGTGGTCACCTCATCAGCTCTTTTCTACGTTTCCTTATTTTGTCTATTTGGAGCCTGAGATTTTTTCGGAAGCTGTCATAAAAATGCCCCTTAGGTCCCAGACCCGTGAAGGACCGTTTCGGGAAATGAAGGGTAAATTGGAATGCAAGGTGTTCGCTCCATAGGGTCTATTAATATGCAATTAGTACAGCTTATATGAGATACTATCATGCTGCAGGACTTTGTTGACCAACTTCATCCTGAAGAATTGCAAAATGGATATTTCGTATGATGACACAAGAGCTCAAAAAATTTTGAACTTTCTAAGCCTCGTATAGGTTATCGATTTTTTTTTGTTGAGTATTATCAACACTTAATACACAGATTACAAAAGTTATGTATTTATTGAGCGACGTTTCGAAGACACTATAGGACAATTTTTGAAAAAATATGTTAATTTTCAATCAGATTTTCCTAATACTCTGAGAGATTTAGCAACACTCGCTTGACAGTAAAATTCCAGACATTCAGGCTACTTTTATAATCCATACACATTTTAATTGAACTCACAGAAGTTGACAAAGAATCGGGAAATCAAATTTTATCATTTACTTAAGAAACTGGATTTTTTATTCCACTTCAGGAGCGCGATTTTTCACCTCAGATGAGAATAATGTTAATTTTGGTCCTGCGCATATAATATTTAGTATCTCTTGGATCTCTTTGAAACCTAAAAAACAATTGAAATAATTGGGCGAAAGCACCAAGAAACAAACTAGAGGTCTACAACGTTATCATCATATGTGAAAGGAAGAAAGAAAAAAAAATATCTCGTGAAAACGCAAAGAACAGACTGTCCAAAAATTGTGAATCTGGAAGCCATAGAAGACTGTATGACAAAGAAATCCCAACATGTGATAATCATATATCTCATATTAAAAACGTGTTTTATTTCAATGCAAAAAACCGCCAGGTGTGGGATTCGAACCCACGCTCCCTTTTGAGAATCAGAGCTTAAATCGAACGCCTTAGAGCGCTTAGCCAACCTGACTATACATAATTGTTTTTTTTTTTTATAAACCTTTACCTTACTACTAAGCTACACCAGGGGATAGTCGGGTTAGAACTTGAGTCTGCGCAAAACACGACCGTTCCCGAACTCGGGATCAGGTCGACCGAGCAAAAGGCGATGACAAACGTTCGATAAAAAGTAATGGGAGTCCTAGCTCAGGTCAAATGAGGTCAAACTGAGCTAGGAGCCCCAATACATAATTATTCAAATTAACCACGGGAAATGCGATATAGATCAATAGCAAGTGTACGGACTGGTGGTATTCTAATTGAGACTACCAGAAGCAGTTCAAGGTTTTCAGTTGCATTAATGTGATACCATTATTCAACTTTCAAGAACATTCTAAATTTGTTGAATGGAATTTTAGCTTTACTGCCGCCACACATCCAACCTGATCCTGGTTGGCACAACACAGCATAATAATGTCATTTTTAACCAAAAACGGGTTCGAATCTTCTATACATTTTCGGAATTATGACTTTGAAATCCGAATTTTTGGATTTTAAAATTATTCTTTCCTGTTTCCAAATCTTAGGATCCTGTCCGCAGCGCCAATTTGTGGTCGCCTCCTTTTTTCTAACTTTATTTATTTTATGTATTTAAAGCCTGAGATTTTTCCGGAGGCTGTTACAAAAATGCCCCTTAGGTCCCAGACCTGTGAAGGGCCGTTTCGAGAAATGAAGAGCAAATTAGGACGCAAGGTGTTCGCTCCAATACTGTCATACTGCAGGAATTTGTTGACCAGCTTCATCCTGAAGAATTGCAAAATGGATATTTCGCATGATGGCGCAACAGCTCATACAGCTCAAACAATTTTGATCTTTCTAAGCCTCGTATAGGTTATCGATTTTTTTTTGCTGTGTATTATCAACACTTAATACACAGATTACCAAAGTTATGTATTTATTGAGCGATGCTTCGAAGCCACTATATGACAATTTAAAAAAAAATGTGTTAATTTTCAGTCAGATTTTTCTAATACTCTGAGAGATTTGGCAGCACTCGTTTGACAGTAAAATGACAAACATCTACGCTATTTTTATAATCCATACACATTTTAATTTTAACTCACAGAAGTTGACAAAAAAATCGGGAAATCAAATTTTATCATTTACTTAAGAAACTGGATTTTTTATTCCACTTCAGGGGCGCCATTTTCACCTCAGATGAGAATAATGGTAATTTTGGTCCTGTGCAGATAATATTTAGTATCTCTTGGATCTCTTTCAAACCTAAAAAACAATTGAAATAATTGGACGAAAGCACCAAGAAACAAACTAGAGATCTACAACGTTATCATCATATGTGAATGAAAGAAAGAAAGAAAGAAAAAAATATCTCGTGAAAACGCAAAGGACAGACTGTCCCAAAATTGTGAATCTGGAAGCCATAGAAGACTGTGTGACAAAGAAATTCCAGCATATGATAATCGTATATCTAATATTAAAAACGTGTTTTATTTAAATGCAAAAAAAAAACGGTCAGGTGTGGAATTCGAACCCTCGCTCCCTTTCAAGAATTAGAGTTTAAATCTAACCGAATAAAAGGCGATGACAAACGTTCGATAAAAAGTAGTGGGGCTCCTAGCTCAGGTCAAATGAGGTCAAACTGAGCTAGGAACCCCACTACATCACTGTTCACATTAACCCCGGGAGAACCTGTTCGCAGTGCCGATTTGTGATCGCCTCGTCAGCTCTTTTCTAAGTTTGCTTATTTTGCACAAAAACGCCCCCTTAGGTCCCGGATCTGTGAAGGGCAATTTGTTCTGTGAACAAAATCTTAGATAACTTGATGTCGGCATACTCATAATAAAAGCAGAGATTATAGAATTCCATATTATGGTTAGATCAAAAGCTAACGACTATAACCCAGTTAAAACAGAGCTTCCTTTGATTTTTTGTTTCCTCGTACTAATTTGTTTTTTGCGTTTCAGTTCCTCCGCACCAGCTGCTGGTGTACGACAACTCCGGTCGCGACATCGCCAGCGTGGTGGGCCCCCTCGAAGAAGGCTCCGCCCTGTTCCTGACCTGCGAAGTTCGAGGAGGTAACGATTTTACATCGCTCGATTTCTTTCCAGAGAACAACATAATGCTTTAATGATACCTAGAACGGGGGCAAAAACGTAGCGGCTTTAATTAATGCAAGCAAGCCTCTCAAAATCTCTTTAATTACACCGGGAGATATGAAGCAGCCGTTCAGGTAATTTCAACTTTACGGTGTACACATAATTTTATAAAATATTGCTTTCGTTATATTAGCGTTTCTTTAAGTTCGGCTCAACGGCGGAATTAATTAAGTAATTAAAAAACTTACGGAGACACCCCGCCGCCACTTGATGGCACCTATGCAAAACACCGGGATTAATTAAATTCGGGCGATCGATTCGAAAAGATCGACCGACTCCCAGAGGTGACATTAGGAGTTGACGGAACCGAGAGTTTCCCTTATATGGCCATTAATTATTCGAGTTGAGTTGACCACGACGGCGACCTTTCACGGCACAGGGCCATCTATTATGCACGAGTGATAGACGGCGGAGAAGAGGCGCTCTCCTTATCACATCTTTATCTACTCTTGTGCATGTTTGATGAAAGAGCACACCTGAGGATAACAACTCAAAGTAATGGCCGGCTTCGGATTTTGACGGTGCGGCTTTTTCGCCCTTGTTCTACACCCAAAGTGGGAACGTTGCGGATGAGGAAAACATCAAATATTCGTGCCTTGCACAATTAGAGGCTTTGCGAAACCGAGATCAAGAAAAACAGGTATCTGACGGAAAAGCTAGTGCACGCTCGAATTTAAAACCTGATACGTTTTCGCACGACTATTAAACCGTTTTACAAAACATCCCCGATTTGACGGTCGACGCCTTCATAGGGATTCGGATCAGAGTTCACGTCGATACGAATCCATTGCATTACATTAGGGTCTTTTCAGGTAGAAAGTAAGCTTGCATGTACGCAATATTAGTGTTTGTGACGTCACACAACAAAAACGACATCGGTATCCCACTACACAGCTTCTATGTTTTAGACGGTCGAAAGAAGTCATTTCTGTCAGCTGAGCGGTGCAAAATCCGGGATTAAGCCATTTAAATTTCATGCAACTAGCGCGACGCCCAATCCGGCTAAAAACACACAAGTCGGTGAAGATTCCGCCGGACCGTAGTGTTGTGTTAAATCCTTGTTTCGTTATTTAAAAAAGAGTAGCTCGTCCACGTTAGTCTCAAGCAGATCCACTTCCTAATGGAAAAGTTGAAGACGGGTGTAGCCGTTTAAAATTTCCGGAGCAAATCCAGCATGACGGATTAAATAAAATAAATTTCAGAGGCGCCTGAAATAATGGCCGGCAAACTTTCCGGCCCGCGTCCTGAAAAAGCTAGTTAGGTGTTTTTCAAGCGGGCAACTTTTAACAAAGGCGAATCTGAAATATAATCTATTTTTGTTTGTTTGAAATTTCTTTAAAGTCAGAATATAATCTCATCCGTGTTTTAAATAACGACTTTCTTTATGACTTTACGAAGCATTTTTTTATTGTATGGGACCGGTGCACGTAAACCTCGGCCTTTTTAATAAATAACACATAAAACTTATTTATGGCTTATTGATATGGCTGTAGACAAACGCACGAACATCCTGTAATACACAACTGTTATGTTGTGAAGGAGAAGTTGTCAGCGGGTTCAGCTCCTGCCCTTGTCGTTGGTCGATACCGCCAGGTAGACACGCGAACTTCCAGGTGTGTGTTTGTGGCCTTGCCAGATTAGATATTTATCAAAGAGCGGCGGGAAGAGCAAAGAAACTAATGAATTACGTGCTGTTGGTGGATACAAAATGGCGACACTTCCGATAATTACGAAATGTTTGCTTGCAATCTCCCGCTTCTTTTTTCCTTCTTAGATAAATGGCACGCAATGGACCAATCGGTTCAGCTTTCGGGTTTTATCGATGAGGAACGTTCGCATATAAAACCAAATTATTTCTTTTTCCATCGAAAATAGTGTGGCGTGTCGAAAGCGCCATCTGATTAAGCTGTCACGGCTCATGCATCAATCAGAGTAGTGGCGATATCCTGGGCCAGGATTTCAAGGATACGATTTTAGGGACAAAGGGACGGTCTCGACCTATATTTCTACGTTACTGCCTAAACGAAAACAAAGGCTTGTTGTTTCCATCTCACTTTTTGCTCTCTGTTTTAATGGACGTAGTGTTGTAGATACTTATCGAATCATTCATTTCTAATGGCAGCAGGCGCAATATCGGGATTCAATACTCTAACATGCCAGACAAACCGCAAGCTAACTTTAATTTAATTTCGTACACACTGCCAATATAAAATGAAAAAAGTTTATTCAAAAGTACGGCCTTCAGAATTTATAAAGTAGGGTATTAAGAATGTACAAAGTACGGCGTCCGTCGCTTGTAAACTATGGCGTTTATAAAGTATAGTTGCGGCCATCCAAAAGTACACGATAATTTTCGCCATTGTAAATATATGTTCAAATAATGGGCGTTCGAATAACAAAGTTCGTCAAATTTTACATTTTGTTTATTCAAAAATGCTGCGCCACTGGTAATAGTCAGACTTACATTAATTTAAACATAAAAAAAGCACTTTTGGGGGGCCGCAACTGTATATCGTTATAAATGATCAAAGTCTGGTGTACAACACTTGCAAAGCAGACGTCCACTGTTTATAAAGTACGGCGTTCCTACACACTGCTAATATGACAAACAACAAATAAAGATGGATTTATAAATTGTAGATATAAAAAAATGTTATTTTATAAAATGAAATAACGTTTACTACGCAAAATTTTGAGGTGACGTCATCACATTGTTGGTGGGAACTATTAGAGAAATTTTGGCTAGCGTTCTACCATCACCATCTACAGGATATTTCTAAAACAAAAAATAAAGTATGACGAAAATTGGTCGAATAGTTATTGTCAACAGTTTAACCCCCATGTGTCTGATTTTTGAAGTGATTAGAAATAATCTCGGTAACACCTTATATTTTGGTTTTGAAATGATTTTGAAGTATAATCGGAACCCTTTCTGTCGTGTTTGTGGTTTGAAAGAACGTCGATGGCCTCTGGTGTCTTGTTTTGAAGTAGTTTTAAAGATTTTCGGGGACCCCTTGTGTCTGGTTTTTGAAGTAATTTGAAAGAATCTCCGAGACCCCTCGAGACCCTTTCTGTTTTTTTTTTGAAGTAATTTGAAAAAATCGGGGGAAACCCTGGGTCTTGTTTTAGAAGTTATTTTAAAAATTCTCGGGAACACCTTGTCTTGTGTTTGAACTAATTCGAAAAAAACTATCTTGGTATAAAAAATTTTAAAGTATCTCGGGACCACTTATATCTTGCTTTTGAAATAATTTTAAAGATTCTCGGGGTGCCCTTGTATCTTGTTATTTGAAGTAAGTATAAAGATTCCGGAACATCTCGTACCTTGTATCTAGTTTTTGAAGTAATTAGAAAGAAACTCGGGGCACCCTTTGTAGTGTTTTTGAAGCGATTTGAAAGAATTTCCAGGATCCCTCGCAACCCTTTCTGTCTTATATTTGCAGTAATTTGAAAGAATCTCGAGGACATATTGTATCTTCTTTTTGAAGTAATTTTAAAGATTTCCGTGACACCTTGCGTCTTCTTTTTACAGTAATTTGTAAAAATCTCGAAAACATATTGTGTCCTGTTTTTGAAGTAATTTGAAATAATCTTGGGAGAACCTGGGTCTTGTTTTTGAAGTAATTTGAAATAATCTTTGGAGACCCTGGATCTTATTTGAAGTAATTTTAAAAATTGTCGGGGAGCCCTTGGATCTTGTAGAATTTCGGAAACATATTGTGTCTTGTTTTTGAAGTAATTTGAAATGCTCTTGGGCGATCTTGGTGTCTTGTTTTTAAAATAAATATTTAAAGACTCGGGAACACCTTGTGTCCTGTGTTTGAAGTAATTTGAAAAAATCTCGGGCCCCCTACTAGTTTAAAAAACTTTTAAAGTGTCTCGGGGACCACTTGGGTCTTGCTTTTGAAATAATTTTAAAGATTCTGTGGTTTTTGAAGTAACTAGAAAGAAACTCAGGGCACCTTTTGTCTTGTTTTTGAAGCAATTTGAAAAAATTTTCGGGACCCCTCGCGACTCTTTCTGTCGTATTTTTGAAGTAATTTGAAAGAATCTCGGGGACATATTGTGTCTTGTTTTTGAAATACTTTGAAAAAATTTGGGGGAGCCCTGATGTCTTCTTTTTGGAGTAATTTTAAAAATTTGAAGTGACACCTTATGTCTTCTTTTTACAGTAATTTGTAGAAATCTTGGGAACATATTGTACCTTGAAGTAATTTTAAATAATCTTGGGAAACCCTGGTGCTTGTTTTTGAAGTAATTTTAAAAATTCTCTGGGAGCCCTTGTATCTTGTTTTTGAAGTAAGTATAAAGACTCGAGAACACCTTATGTCTTGTGTTTCAAGTACTATCTTGGTTTAAAAAACTTTTGAAGTATCTCGGATACCACTTGTGTCTTTTGTTTTTGAAATAATTTTAAAGATTCTCGAAGACCTCTTGTGTCTGGTTTTTGAAGTAATTAGGAAGAAACTCGGGGCACCTTTTGTCTTGTTTTTTGAAGCAATTTGAAAGAATCTCCGGGACCCCTCGCGACCCTTTCTGTCCTATTTTTGAAGTAGTTTGAAAAAATCCCGGAAGCTTCTGATGTCTTGTTTTTGAAGTATTTTTTAAGATCTTCGGTAACATCTTGTGTCTTCTTTTTACAGTAATTTCTAAAAATCTCGGGAACATATTGTGTCTTGTTTTTGAAGTAATTTGAAATTATCTTGAGACACGCTGGGTCTTATTTTTAAAGTAATTTTAAAGATTCTCGAAGACCCCTTGTGTCCAGTTTTTGAAGTAATTAGAAAGGAACTCGGGGCACCTTTTTCTTATTTTTGAAGTAATTTGGCAGAATCGCGGGGACATATTGTGTCTTGTTTTTGAAGTAATTTGAAAGAATCTCCGGGACCCCTCGCGACGCTTTCTGTCTTATTTTTGAA